TCCTCCCACCACCTTCACTCTCCTCTGCACCTCCTCCTGTCTCCTGCCCAAGCTCTGCACCTCCTGTCACCACCTTCACTCTCCTCTGCACCTCCTCATGTCTCATGCCCAAGCTCTGCACCTCCTGTCACCACCTTCACTCTCCTCTGCACCTCCTCCGTCACCACCTTCGCTCTCCTCTGCACCTCCTCCGTCTCCACCTTCGCTCTCCTCTGCACCTCCTCCGTCTCCACCTTCGCTCTCCCCTGCACCTCCTCTGTCACCACCTTCACTCTCCTGTGCACCTCCTGTCACCACCTTCACTCTCCTCTGCACCTCCTCCGTCTCCACCTTCGCTCTCCTCTGCACCTCCTCCTGTCTCCTGCCCAAGCTCTGCACCTCCTGTCTCCACCTTCACTCTCCTCTGCACCTCCTGCCACCACCTTCACTCTCCTCTGCACCTCCTCATGTCTCCTGCCCAAGCTCTGCACCTCCTGTCACCACCTTCACTCTCCTCTGCACCTCCTCCGTCTCCACCTTCACTCTCCTCTGCACCTCCTCCGTCACCACCTTCACTCTCCTCTGCACCTCCTGTCACCACCTTCACTCTCCTCTGCACCTCCTCCTGTCTCCTGCCCAAGCTCTGCACCTCCTGCCACCACCTTCACTCTCCTCTGCACCTCCTGCCACCACCTTCACTCTCCTCTGCACCTCCTCATGTCTCCTGCCCAAGCTCTGCACCTCCTGTCACCACCTTCACTCTCCTCTGCACCTCCTCCGTCACCACCTTCACTCTCCTCTGCACCTCCTGCCACCACCTTCACTCTCCTCTGCACCTCCTCCTGTCTCCTGCCCAAGCTCTGCACCTCCTGTCTCCACCTTCACTCTGCTCTGCACCTCCTGTCACCACCTTCACTCTGCTCTGCACCTCCTCCGTCACCACCTTCACTCTGCTCTGCACCTCCTCTGTCACCACCTTCACTCTCCTCTGCACCTCCTGTCACCACCTTTACTCTCCTCTGCACCTCCTCCGTCACCACCTTCACTCTCCTCTGCACCTCCTCCGTCTCCACCTTCGCTCTCCTCTGCACCTCCTCCTGTCTCCTGCCCAAGCTCTGCACCTCCTGTCTCCACCTTCACTCTCCTCTGCACCTCCTGTCACCACCTTCGCTCTCCTCTGCACCTCCTCCGTCACCACCTTCGCTCTCCTCTGCACCTCCTGTCACCACCTTCACTCTCCTCTGCACCTCCTCCGTCTCCACCTTCACTCTGCTCTGCACCTCCTGTCACCACCTTCACTCTGCTCTGCACCTCCTGTCACCACCTTCACTCTCCTCTGCACCTCCTCCGTCACCACCTTCACTCTCCTCTGCACCTCCTCCGCCACCTTCGCTCTCCTCTGCACCTCCTCCTGTCTCCTGCCCAAGCTCTGCACCTCCTGTCACCACCTTCACTCTCCTCTGCACCTCCTGTCACCACCTTCACTCTCCTCTGCACCTCCTGCATCTCCACCTTCGCTCTCCTCTGCACCTCCTCCGTCTCCACCTTCACTCTCCTCTGCACCTCCTGTCACCACCTTCACTCTGCTCTGCACCTCCTGTCACCACCTTCACTCTCCTGTGCACCTCCTGTCACCACCTTCACTCTCCTCTGCACCTCCTCCGTCACCACCTTCACTCTGCTCTGCACCTCCTCTGTCACCACCTTCACTCTGCTCTGCACCTCCTGTCACCACCTTCACTCTGCTCTGCACCTCCTCTGTCTCCACCTTCACTCTCCTCTGCACCTCCTCCGTCTCCACCTTCACTCTCCTCTGCACCTCTGTCACCACCTTCACTCTCCTCTGCACCTCCTCTGTCACCACCTTCACTCTCCTCTGCACCTCTGTCACCACCTTCACTCTCCTCTGCACCTCCTCCGTCTCCACCTTCACTCTCCTCTGCACCTCCTCTGTCACCACCTTCACTCTCCTCTGCACCTCCTCCGTCTCCACCTTCACTCTCCTCTGCATCTCCTCTGTCACCACCTTCACTCTCCTCTGCACCTCCTCTTTTGCCTCCTCTCTCCTCCTCTCTGCTTCCTTGTGTCCCTCTTCGATCAGCTGCTCTGCAAACCTCTTGTACCTGATATAAAAGCTCAGTTCCTGTCTAACTGTTTGACAGGTGTGATAGTCACATGGTTTTGGAGAATGCATGTTCCCTCGGTGCGCAAAAGCAGAGTAGTGACAGAATTGATGCACATTATTCATATTTGAAGCACGTGTACCTGCACATTAACACACGGGTACTGTGGGATATATTTTTAAAGCGCTCGTGCTCTCGTCCACTCCCCGCAAAAAAATAGCAGCTGTGTGGCGTCTGTGGCGTCGGTGCTCTCATCACCTGCGATGGAGTAAACATCAAAAGCACAGCTTTATCAGACAGGTGCAGTTTAATGTTGGCCGACGAGTCTTCAGTGCGTCGCACGACTGGATTTCTGGACACGCTGACGTTGTTGAAGTCCTGCACTGTTTCCACATTATTTCGGTGACTTTAACGAGGCCGTGTTTTATGAGGTCTCCATCTGAGAAAGGCTCGCCATGTCTTGTGATGAGCTGGGCGACCTCATAGCTGGCTATCGGAGCCTTTTCCTGGACCTTTTGAGCATGAAATAAATACTGTTGCTGACCCTGCAGGAGAGCTACCCTTTGCTTTCTGCTCTGGCTCAGCACCAGTGTCGGATGCACAGGCCTGATGTTTGGTTTCATGATGACGTCGTACATTATCCTCTTTCATAACTGCCACAGTCTCAGTGCAGATCAAACAGACACACTTGAATTCTTTGAAGAAATATTCACTCTCCCACCGTGTCTGAAATTTTCTGCACTCACCACCTTTTGCTTCTTTGGGTTTGACCTGTTTAGCAACTTGGGGTACATTTCTTCTGTGATTGTCCTTTTTGGTGGAGCAACTGCCTTGATCACCAGTAGCTCCCCTGGTGTTAAAACTAAGAAGTGCAATACAATCAAGCAAAAGTTGAAGTGCGGGCCATATGTTATTCTATTTATAAAATTACTTGCGGGCCAATTAAAAAAGGACCGCGGGCCGCAGTTGGCCCACGGGCCAGAGTTTGGACCCCCCTGGTTTAAAGGATTAAATTCAGCGTCTCTCTGCCGTTCTCTTTACCACTACACTCTCTGTCTCCGCAGTGTCTTATTCTAAGTGGGCGAGGAACGAGACATGTTCACTTACCTGTGTGTGAGAGAACTCCCTCAGTGTCCGTGTAGCACTGGTGTAGCACAAGTAGTGGCCTTGTGTTACACACCGGCCCGAAGCCGGGGTGCAACCCAACAAAAAGATAAACCCGATACATAATAACGACAAAAAAAAATCACACCACGGCAGAATGACGAGAGTTGGTTAATAGTTGGGTTGCGGTCACGTGGTTCTGATGACGTGCGGAGGCAGTGTGATTTTTGAGTGGAGGGCGGAAGTAAACATGGAGGACACTGTGGAGAGTCAGGAGAGCAGCTATTGTGCAACTTTAGACCCCGTTTCTCGGGAGAGATATAAACAGATAGTTAAAAAATATATTTCTTTGAAAATGTCCGAATACACCACAGAAGTAAAGGATTTGCCTACTATCGAGGCTGTGGATATCACCAACTACTTGGTCCTCCAGACTTCTTACTACACTAGGCAGCAAATGAAAGCTTTCAAGAGTCTGGAGGCGTACAATTTTTTTTGTCAGCGGGTGGGTCCACAACCTTGGAACAAAACGTCTCCGTGATGGATACAGTTTGGTGTTTGCAAGGGTGAGTGTTTGTTCTTATATTGCTTTATCTTAAACTCCACTGTCACTAGGCTCAAATCCGGGCTCTCAGCCGTCTGTTGCATATCCAAAATCGCCTCTGCACATCGATGCTGTTCTGCCTTAAGCTTCATTCTTTTCTCTCGTTTGAGAACTGATTCCGATCTGAGTTTTCGTTCGTAGCCGAGATTGACCGTCGGAGCCCAGTCCTCCGACTCTTCGTCATCCAAAGCACTTGGGCAGCCTATAGTCCCAATCAAGTCAATATTAGACTACTAACTTAAAAGCACTAAGTAAACGAGAATTTAACGACAACCTAATGCTAATAAGTTCGTTTGCAAACATAACATTACCTCTGACGAAGTGGTCGCTGCAGACACGGGCATTGGCAGACTCTGCTCCTCCCGACTGTAAACGTAAATTTAAAATCCATTTTTTCCTACGTTTTTCGGTTAGAATTTTCCATTTTTCTCCTCTTCGTTGGGCTATTTTTGGTACCCTAAAATACCGTTTATCAGTTTCTCAGGTCGACCTACTGGAGCATCCGTAAACACAACAGGACATAGGCATTTTGCGTACTGTCTGTCTGTGATTTTGCGCTTATCTTTTTCACTTCCGACCGCCAGTCAAATTTCGTGCTTTACGTCGACGTCACGTCTACGTCAAATGAAACCTAGCTATTTATTTGCTGAACAGGTAGCGAGCTTCAGGGTGGGCGATGCCAAAACAACAAACAAAACACACTAGAAAGAAAAACAGAGCTAACTTACCTCCCATGATTCCAAAACAAAATACAATTCTCTAACCTGTCTCCCTACCCGAAACAGGAGAAAAGAGGGAAATAAAAGAAATCGGCTTCCCACCACTACAGCTACCAAGCCCAGGTACAACCCTTTTTCAGCATTGATATTGCAGCCCCGTGCAGTCACACACCACGACGGTCCCCAGACACACAGCTCACGGGAAACCAGGAAGTCTGCTCGCCGACCCAGTCCAACCCCTTTTGTAGCTGGCCTCTTTCCTTCCTCCACCAATGGGTGGCCTCCACCTGGAAACAAGCATCACTGAATACAAATACAAACAATAACAACACTGTACCGCAAATAATGACCCTGGGTCATAACACCCCCCCACCTAAAATCAAGCATCTCATTAGAGAGATGCTAGACCTAGTATCAAAACATTAAAACAAACAAACAAATCGAACACCTCCTAGGGGGAAACCAGACTCATCAGTCACTGTCTGCGTCATCACTGATGATCCCCTGCAGGTTGGCCCATTCGGACATTTTCCTGCGACCTCTGTGGGTATTGTTTTCCCGATCACTGTCTGATCCTGAGTTTAGAGTGCGCTGATATCCAGAGGACAGACAGTCCTGCTGTTTCTGACTTGCTGAGGCACCCCTGCGTGTAGGTCGACCTTGTGTGGTAATCATGTTGTTGACATCAAGAGCAGCCAGTTCATGAGCTTGCTCTCTCTTCATTCTGACCTTTTTACATTTCTGAATAGTTGGCTGACCATGTACACCAAGCTCTTCAAGCTCCTTCTTCAGAACAGCCACCTGGGAGCGGCAGTCCTCCAGCAGCTTCTTGTAATTTCTCCTCACGCCGCAGAGGGCAATGTAACGTTCAAGCTCCTTCTTCAGAACAGCCACCTGGGAGCGGATGGAGTGGAGCGGCAGTCCTCCAGCAGTTTCTTGTAATTTCTCCTCACGCCGCAGAGGGCAATGTAACGTTCAAGCTCCTTCTTCAGAACAGCCACCTGGGAGCGGATGGAGCGGCAGTCCTCCAGCAGTTTCTTGTAATTTCTCCTCACGCCGCAGAGGGCAATGTAACGTTTAAGCCTTGCCACCGATTTGTCATCAGACTTTGGTTTTCTGGTGCTCTCATCTTTCTTCACACTCTTCTTCATCTTCTTTTTATCCTTTGATTTATCAGTCTTATTTTCTTTTTCATCTTCCAAAGAAGGTAGTGATGAATCCGAGTCTGGGTCACTGGTTTTCTTTTCCACTTTTGTATCTTCTTTTTCACTGTCAGAAGACTCGTCACTCTTAATTTTGTCACTCGTTTCTGACTTGCAGTCTCCATCTGATTCATTTCCTGCATCACTCAGTGGTGTTCTCCTTCCTTCATCTTTACTGCTGGTTACTGTCTCGACGTTCATTCTCACCATTTTCTTTGGACTGTCACTGCAGTTGCTTTCCTCACTGAGTTCCTCATCAGAAGACTCGTCACTGGTCAATTTGACGATTTTCATTTCTCTTTTGTTGTGATTTTTTCACCTCTGGCTCTTCACCATCAGCTTGAGATTTGGCATTTTCTTCATCATTGCTGCTTTTTTTTTTTTTTTTTTTTTTTTTTTTTTTTTTTTTTTTTTTTTTTTTTTTTTTTTTTTTTTTTTTTTTTTTTTTTTTCTTTACTTTCTGTTTTGTTGTCCTCTTGAACCTCAGATTCTGATGATGAGCTTGAATGATTATTTTGTGATTTCTTTGCCCTGGATTCATCTTCACTCTCACTCATGACCTCGTCATTTCCATTTTCTCTTTTCCTTTTGTTCTGGAGCTTCTTAGTCTCTGAGTCACTTTCACTTTCATCATTATCCTGCATTTTCATCAGTTCCTCTTGCACCACCTGTTCCATGAAAGTTTTTACTTCTGGACTTAATGAGTCACATTTGTTGTGTGCCTGATATCTCTTTTTTAAAATTCCCAAGATCAGCGTGCTCAGGTCTGCCTCGTCACGGAGTTGACCACACACAAACCTGCGGATACCTGCTACATCCTTCTCCGACACCATACTAAAAACCTTTGCCGTCCCACCATCTACCCCCGGAACAGAACTATCATGCGGCTCAGAGCCGTCCGGAAACATTTCAGATATGTCCACCTCACCACCCAAGCGACGAGCTTGAGCACGAGTAACCACACATGCCGGAAAAACTGTAGGGTCACCCAGCTCCGACGGGAATTGGCATAACCGATCCGAAGTAGGACACTCAATAACTTCCGGCATAGCCGGAAACACTTTTCCCCCGGCCAAGTCATTTCCCAAAACAAGATCAATGCCTTCAATTGGCAGCTGATCTCGAACCCCCACCCGCACAGCGCCCGAGACGAAGGACGAGGTCAAAGTAACCGTATGGAGTGGCATGCGTAGCATGCTCACTTTTATACCCCACACCAGCAAATCAGAACCACAGTACGACTGCTGAGAGAAAGACACGACACCACGTCGCGCCACCGAATGCTTCGCCCCTGTATCCCTCAAGATGATGATCGGAACCCGGTCCCCCGCATCACCAGACAACGATAAAAATCCCGTCGAAACAAACGGTCGAAACACCTCATCTATCCCCCGTGGAACGACGCCAACCGGCATTAAGCTAGGGCGGGTTACCGCGGAGCAACACTGCACGGCCCCCCCCGAAATGTTGGTCCGCGCCCCCTCCCTCGCCCTCAGCACGGGACAAGAAGCAACGAGATGACCGAGCTCATGACAAAAAAACATCGGCGGTCCCCAGCGGACACCGTAGGGCTACGCCGCGAGAGCGGGGGAGAACGCCCCCCCCCCCCCCCCCCCCCACCTCCGGCAAAACTCTAGAACCCCGACGTAACAGAGGGGAAAAACCCCTCTTGTTCGTCAAAGCAAACTCATCTGCCAGAACCGCCGCTTTCGCGAGGGAAACGACCTTCTGCTCGTTCAAATAAACAACCACCCGCTCTGGCAGACACCCCTTGAAATCCTCCAATAACATTAACTCCCTCAACTGTGCAAACTCCTTAACCTCACTAGCCTGGCACCACCGATCAAAGAGCAAACCCTTCTCGCGCGCAAACTCCACATAAGTCTGATCCCCCCCTCACACACTGCCGAAACTTCTGACGGTACGCTTCAGGCACCAACTCAAAAGCACGCAATACGGCAGCCTTAACCACACCATAATCTAAGCTCTCAGATGCCGACAGGCTAGCCCACACCTCCTGAGCCCTACCCACCAGCCGACACTGCAACAGCAAAACCCAGACCTCCTCCGGCCACTTTAACGCGGCAGCCACACGCTCAAAAGCAGGAAAAAACGACTCCACCTCCGATTCACAAAAGGGCGGCACCAATTTAATGTGCCTCCCAATATCAAAATCCTGACGGAGAGCCGGGGCGGGACCAGGCGCCGGCGGCGCAGGGAGCACAGAGGGCGCAGACGTGGGCGGCGTAGAGTCAGGGGCACGCGGCGGAGGTCCACGCTCCAACTCCAACGCCCTCACCCTCAGATGCATCGCTTCCACCTCCAACCGGTGACTACTCAACTCCACCTCCTTAATGCGGAGCAACAACTGGAGCTCCTCCACCGACGACCCCACCACCGGAGCAGGAGGAGCCACAGAGGGGGCGGCCACAGGAGGAACAGACAACGGAGCCAACGGCTCCATAGCCGCCCCGCCCGTCCCACCAACAAGCGGCACGCTCGACAGCAAACCCCGCTCGCTCAAAGCCACCGTGACAAGCTGTCGCAAATCATCCGTCTTCACCCCCGCCGGCGCTTGCACATCAAAACGGCCCGCAATAAGCAGCAAATCCTCCCTCCGACACCGACTCAACTGCTGCAAGGAAGGCGCCTCAGCAAACTTATCCACATCAAACTCCATCCGCGGCCACCCACACAAACAACCCCCAAAAACACAAAAAACAACCCCACACACCCACACGAACCCCACTACACACAACGACCCCGAAATCCCGGACGAGCCCCCATTTATGTTACACACTGGCCCGAAGCCGGGGTGCAACACAACAAAAAGATAAACCCGATACATAATAACGACAAAAAAAAATCACACCACAGCAGAATGACGAGAGTTGGTTAATTTATTTGCTGAACAGGTAGCGAGCTTCAGGGTGGGCGATGCCAAAACAACAAACAAAACACACTAGAAAGAAAAACAGAGCTAACTTACCTCCCACGATTCAAAACAAAATACAATTCTCTAACCTGTCTCCCTACCCGAAACAGGAGAAAAGAGGGGAATAAAAGAAAACGGCTTCCCACCCCTACAGCTACCAAGCCCAGGTACAACCCTTTTTCAGCATTGATATTGCAGCCCCGTGCAGTCACACACCACGACGGTCCCCAGACACACAGCTCACGGGAAACCAGGAAGTCTCCTCGCCGGCCCAGTCCAACCCCTTTTGTAGCTGGCCTCTTTCCTTCCTCCACCAATGGGTGGCCTCCACCTGGAAACAAGCATCATTGAATACAAATACAAACAATAACACCGTACCGCAAATAATGACCCTGGGTCATAACACCTTGTTAGACCTGCTAGTGCTACTTCGTGCCTTCTTTGCATGTGGTATAGGCAGTGTAGTTACCTTTAACCACAGTCTGAGGACAGATGGGAAATATACAAAAAATTCCACCACAAAAGAAGATTTCAAAGGTTTTTCAAAGGAAACATTTATTTGTACAAAAGTATCACTTAAGAACATAACTGCATGCCTCTGTTTAGTTTGGATTTCATGGTTTAAACATATAAGGAAGTAATAGTAACACAAGTCTGAGTTCACTGTCTGTTTTCAAATGCATTTCAGAAGCAGGAAAAGTCCTTATGTCTCCCTCCTGTTCCGCATCCTCAGGCCGCTCACCCCGACTTCCTTGGGTGTGTCTGCAGAGATTTGACCCTCCCCCTCCACGTTTGCTGACATTAAAATATTGCCTTCTATATCCTCCTCTGCTTCCTCCTCTGGATTTGAACTGCCATCACAGCTGAACTGCAGGCTCTCTGCCTCCATCACTGGGTCATCTTCATCAGCTTCCTCCTCTTCTTCCACTTCTGTGTCCTCGTCCTCCTCCTCCATCTGATCTTCCTTGTCCTCTTCCCCATCCTCGTAAGTGTCCTCTTTAGGGTAGTGGAAGACATCCTTGTGCTCGCTGAAGCTGACTTGCTTCTTCCTGCTATTGTTACACTGCAGCTCTTTCTTCACCTCCAAACCAACTCTTGTTGTCGTTCTTTCAGGACCTGGCTGGGATGATGGAGGACGGAGCAAGTGCCTTTTCTCTGCCTCCTCCTCATCATCCTCTTCCTCATCTATGTCTTCCTCTACTCCCATAGCTTCTTCTATTCCCTCCTCTTCTTCCTCTTCATCCTCATCATCTTTTGCTTCTGTGTCCTCCTCATCTTCTTCCTCTTCCTCTCGCACTATGGAAAGTTTCCTTGCCATGACCTCTTCCTCCTCTTGCTCCATCCTCTCTGCTAGGGCCCCAGCGGTGGGCTGTGTGGGGGGTTCCTCTAGTTTAACCGTCTTAAACCCACGTCTGAGGCAGGGTTCATCATACTCTGGGTAGGTCTCCTCTGGGTAACCTTCCCAGTCTGCACCGTATGGGACCTCCTCGGCCTCCATCTCTGGGGAGGCTCCCTCCAATCGGCTCTCTTGAATAAGCTGTGTGATCTGTCTCAGCTGCCTGAGTAATTTCTCCTCCTTTTTTGACGTGGTGGTTTTACTCCTCCTTCGTCTACCACTCCCAGAACTATTGTTCCTCCTGGACACAATCCTCTCCATCATCTCTTCAGGTTGGAGAAGTCTCTCCTGCAGCCTGGCAAGCTCATTAGCAGTGATTGTGTTCTTCCTGGTTCCCACGGTTACTGCAGAGTTCTTCCCTGGTTTATTAGCCTTCCCCCTACATGTCAGCTTATGTATGATGTAAAGAAGGATCCCAAAGCCATATAAGGGTATCACTTGAGTCATCAGGTTGTACTTTTTGCCTCGTCTTGTTTTTTATTTTTTTTTTATTTTTTTATTTTCAGTTGTTACAGACGGGACAGACATGAGTGAGGGATAGGAAAGGGAGAGAGGAAGAGGAAGGAAAAGAAAAACAGAAGGGGAGAGGGACAGTGAGTAAGGGGGAGAAAAGAAATCTCCTGGATCACCTGTTGAGAGGAGAAGAATAGAAAACAAGCAAAAAACAAAGCAACATACTAAACACAACACCATCGCATTAATCTAGCTAAGTGTAAACAGCAGTAAATACTAAAAATTCAATGTTGTTGTGCAGCACGCAGGACAGACAGCGCACAATGTGCTTTGAAGTAGCAGCCAAGAAAGGTGTAATTTAAGTCTACGAGCAGTGAACACCTGTGTGCACACCTGTGTGGATCAGCGCACTTGTATTCAAAAGGTTTCCCCATGTAATGGTCTGCAAGAGGATGTAGAGAGCCATAGCCCCGCCCCCAGGGCATGAAGCAGGCATGGAGGAGACTCAGGCCCCAGACATCCAGAGGCCTCAGAGTGCGAGAGCCCAAGGAGGACCACCGGAGGGGCATCCGTGCCACCCTCATGGGAAGGGCTGAGGATCCCCAGACGAGGCGTCACCCAGTAGCCACCGAGCAGAAGCTAGAGGGGGCTGCACCGGCGTGCCCGCCGGCTCTGCCAGCAGCCAGCTGTGCCGGAGGAGGCCTGACCGAGCAACAGGCGCCAGGCCCCGCCAGGTAGCCCCCGGGAGTGAGCCGGTACATACCTGAGTGCCCAGCCCCGGACACCAAGAACCACCAATGCACCGACCCCTGAGGGCATCAGTCACCGGCAGGGAGTGTGGTGAGGGGAGATAGGCCTGGGAGTTCCCAGAGAGGCGGAGTCTAAGACCCGACCTGACATATACACACAGACAAACAGGCACACACAGACACAAAGGATTTCAAAAGATTTTAATAGGTTAGTTTAAGATTTTGAGCAAACAACAGAAATAAGTGTGTGATAACAACATCTCACTCCTCAGAATTATGTAAGAAGGCTTCATTTCATAA